TCTGGCCAAAAACATTATTGTTTAACGTTCTCATATGATAATTCATAAGGGCATTTTGGAAATTTGAGCCCTATAACCAATCCATCTATATATAGTCGAAACATAATTGACCCATCTCATTCCACAACATCTCTTTCATTAGAAACATAGTAAACCAAAAATAAAAAAATGTCTCTAGTGACGGAGGAGATGAGAGCAAGTGCAACTGAATTCTACACTGGAAATGATATCTGCCAAGAGAAATCAAAGTTGTTGCTGACAGAAGTAGGCCTACCAAATGGCCTACTTCCTATGCAAGACATGTTAGAATGTGGCTATGTAAAAGACACTGGCTTTGTTTGGCTCAAATCAAAGAAAAAAACAGAACACAAGTTTGAAAAAATTGGTAAATCAGTCCAATATGCAACTGAAGTGACAGCTTATGTTGAGCCCAATAAGATAAAGAAACTTACTGGGGTTAAAGCTAAAGAGCTACTTATGTGGTTAACACTCAATGAAATTTGTGTTGATGAACCATCCACCGGGAAAATCCATTTCAAGACTCCAACTGGGCTTTCTAGGACTTTTCCTGTTGCAGCATTTGAACTTAATGAGCCCAAAAAGGAAGTTAAAGAAGTGAGTGATGTTGTTGCTCCTGCTGTGGAAGTGAAAGAGGTGTAAGAAGGGGAAAAAAAGAAAAACAATTTAGTAATTATTTGCCTTAGTATTAACTATAATCTAATTAATCTTTGCTTATTTTACTAAACTTTGATTTAAAAAGTTGTTGTACTACTACTACTTAAGTTGAGGATGGTAATTATCTAATCCATCTTATTGTACTCATCATTAAGTGGCTAATTATGTTATCTTTTATTCGAATTTAGTGACACTATTATTATTATTAATTAATTACTATACCTCTAAGATACCAAAATTATTAATTTCTTCCTCTTAATTTTGCTTTAGGGATAACAACATTTTGATACTTCAGTTATTGATAAATTCTATTTTTATTGCTACTTTTAGCACTTAACAACAATAAATATTCATCCGCTATTGTTCTGCAAGTATCGCCAACCTAGTATACAACAATAATTTTCCTAGTTCAATCATAATTATTAAAAACGTACAAATCGTATCTTTTCAATATGTAATGTCCTATGTAATTTCAGAAGTGAGGTCTGAAATGGTAGTGTGTATGTAGTCTAATCCTATCTTATGAAAATAGAAAAGTCGTTTTAATTGATATATTTTTCATTATTTACTTTTGCTTCATAGGATAGACAAACTATACTAGAGAATAGATGTCATTTGACGTTTAATGAGGCCTCCTTATAATGTGCATTTGATTTCTCTTGTTGTTCCTCTTTAGAAATTGTGTACCTAAATTAAATAACACCACCTATCTTCTTTAATATATTTGATGATTTGATAAATACTTTACGTATTTTTTCTAGGATTAGCTTTTGAAGTTGACTGTTTTTCTAGTTTTAAATTATAAGCCTGGCTATATTACTTATTTCACGTCAATGACATTTATAAGAACTATGTAATAATATGTAAAAGTTGGAAAACATATGATGGGAGGAAATGAAGGGGGAAAAAAGAAGCAAATCAACGTAGTATGGTAATGGTAAAATGAAAACTTCAAAACATCTTTGTAGTATAAAAGAATTTGGTGAACTTAGCATTTAATTTCCTTTTTTCCCTAAAAAAATGTGCAAGAGGAGAGGCAGATGTAAAAACTTATCAGTATCTTGCGAGAATCTTGCAATTTAGAGGTGAATTTAAGATTTGAAAACTCCGAATTCAAAGCCTAAAAGGGGTAGCACCTAGGTCACGGGTGGATGTATTTGCACCCTTTAATTTTATGCTTGTCATGAGAGTACTATTAATTGTTTTTAGTTTCTACCTATATATATATATATATATATATATATATATATATATATATATATATATATATATATATATATATATGATTTTTTCTAAATTTAACGAATACACGTCGACCTCCGAATACCGTCTTTATCTCTGTTGCAAGTAGGCCTATTACTTTGGATAGGGTTCCAAATTTCAATTCTTACCGATCTCTAGTATGTAATCTACATTTTTCTAGTTGAAATCTTCTATGTTAGTATTAATTTCTTTTCCATTTTGTTCGTCGGATGTCCAGTAAATGTAAATTTAAACTAATTTACTTTCAAAACATAAAATATATTATATAGATTGAAATAGAAAAAAAATACATACTTATTTCATTTATAATTGCTAACAATATGATCTATAGTATAAATAAATATTAAATGCGAATGTCATTTGACATAAATGATAATTTACTGTGTTTTGAGGAAAAGATAGGGCTATCAAAACAAATTTTGGGATCTTTTCCAAAATAATTCTACCAACTACTCACATCTACTGTATTTGTAATATAATTACTCCTTCCAACTGTTTTTTTTTTTAATTCTGCATTAAATGTTAGCAACCCATTTTTTTTTAATCAAGTATTTAATTTGTAGCACAACCTTCCATCCAATTTCCCATATTGTAGGTCCATATTTAATTCTTTTTAATGCTCTGATGATCATTTTTTTCCTAATATTTGGTGGACTACCCACTTAATGCACCTCCATACAGTTTTGGGAAAATAAAAAGAAGGTTGTGCCACAAAAAAAATTGAAATAGTAAATGTAAAATTAATTTGTTATATTTTTTTTACTTATTTACTAGAAAATTTTGAGAATGAGGTTCGATTAAGAAGAAACAGATCTTTTATTTAAGTAATACAGTTGAAAATAATTACTATTTTTTCAATTAGATTTCTAAAACAAAATTTATTTTGAGATAATTCCTATTTTTTTTATACTAAAGCAATTTAAAACGGAGGAAGTGATACTTAAAATTAAACATATTTTTCAAATTCTACTCCTGCTTGATATTTATACTAAAACTATATTTTCCTTTTATTTGTTTATTTTAACAGATTTAGAGAATTTTACTATTTTATTTTTGTCATTAAATACTTATGTAAAGTATTTATTTATCAAATTTAAATTTTTAAATTTAACTAATATAATAAATCTTTGACAAATATTTTCTTGAATAAAGTGTCAAATCAATATGAGCTAAATAAAATAAGAAGTATTGCGTATGTGCATAATTTCTTATTCGCTTTTAAATTGTTGAAAGAATAATGATTGATATAATAAATTATTATATTTTCTCCATTAGTCATGAAGTTATTGAATAAAGAAAATTAAATTTTTAAGAAAATTTATATTTTTCAAAATAATTAATAAGAAATATAATAAATTTTAAAAAAATATATTTTTTAAATATCAAAATGAACAAGTACTTCGTGAGTCTTGACAAAAGGGTTAAGCAAATACTTTATAAGTTATAAAAAGATATTTGGCAAAATAATTTCATGTACTTTCGTGTTTAGTGAGAATACCAATTTTCTGTTTTTCTATATAAAAAAAAAAGGTTGCGGCTAATTTTTTTTTTTAGAAAATCAATATTTTTAAAAACAATAGAACCTTTTTATTAAATAAATTAATTTTGAAATTTTATTAATCAATATAGATTAAGTGACATGTCAATTATTTTTCTTAATAATATTTCAAATAAAATATGAACAAATAATTAAGAATTTTTTCAAAATAAAATTCCAACAAGTTACCAACATGAGTTATTATAAGATGATGAAAGTACTTCATCTTTAAAAAAAAATTAAAAATCGAATATAAAATAGGAAGAAAATCTTGCTGCAATTGGTAAACCAAACATATGGCATGTATTTACTATATATATATTGATTCAATGAATATGTATCATTTATTTGTTAAACGCTTACCGATACGACCGTTTTATATATACATCCATTCACGAAATTTAGTTCATTATATTAAAATAATATTTAATAATAATTATTTCGTTATAATTTTTAAAATATCATATTTATTGTTTCATCTGTCTAACAATAGCGATCCACTATTATTTTGAACATCTAACAACACTTATTCATTTTATAAAATTAATGAATAATTTTATATTTATAAATACTATATTATCCTTTGCATAGTAAAATCACCCTTTTATTTATAAATTCTTAAGTAGGGTACAAAGTCAATAATAAATAAGTATTGTTGGACAAAGAAAATATATTCAAAGAATGATATAGTAAAATTATTCTTTTATTTATGGTTTCTTATCAAGTGTGCAAAGTCTAAGTGAATAAATATTGTTGAACAGAGTAGGTATTAGTTAATATGCTAGTATAATTAATTGACATCGATCAAATATACAAACCAATTATATATACTTCACTTGTCTCTCTCCTCCTGTCTCATTTGTCTCTATCCTTCTTATAACATGTAGTTATGAATAGTATTTAACTCATTAATTGCCTAAGCCTTAGTTATTTCTGAAATTTCCTATTAAAAAAATCCCTCAAGTTTCTCATTTGCTAAATTTTGAATTTATACACTATTTAATTACTCATCATAGCTATGGTTTGTTATAATTATCACTCATGACTAATATTATACATTAATTACGTGGGCTGACTTCAAATTTGTATAGTTAGTCATGTTTGTACATGTATAATTCGTCAGGATATACAAATAAATATGTATAATATACAATTTTTTTAGCTTATAGACATATACAATTCACCTCTCTCTCTCTTTCCTCTCTCGTACACCTCTCTCCTCCCTCTCTCAATCTTGCTCGCCTCTCTCCTCCATCTCCCAATCTCGCTTGTCATTTATACAAATGTATATATATAATATACAGTTATATACATATACAATTCACGTCTCTCCACTCTCTGCCCTCTCTTGCTTGCCTCTCTCCTCCAAATAAATTGTTATTATCAAGCTATAGTTATATAGAGTAATTAATTATTTTTAAGTGGTCATGTGAGTTCCCCCAAACAAAACACAACTGTTGTTTAATATGTAGGCATATCATAAGGGCATTTGAGAAGTTTAAGCCAAAACCGAAGGGTAATCTCTCCTATTGACATCTATATATTCGAAGCCCTTTTTGCCAATCTATCTCATTCATTCATAAAACAAAAGCGAAAAATCGATTGCAAAAGATGTCTCTAATAACAGAGGAGATGAGAGCAAGTGCCACTGAATTCTACACTGGAAATGATATCTGTCAAGAAAAATCAAAGTTCTTGTTAACAGAAATGAACCTCCCAAATGGGCTTCTCCCTTTGCAAGACATGTTAGAATGTGGCTATGTTAAAGACACTGGCTTTGTTTGGCTCAAATCAAAGAAAAAAACAGAGCACAAATTTGAAAAAATTGGAAGATCAGTCCAATATGCAACTGAAGTGACAGCTTATGTTGAGCCCAATAAGATCAAGAAACTTACTGGGGTTAAAGCTAAAGAGCTTCTAATGTGGCTAACACTTAATGAAATTTCTGTTGATGAGCCATCTACTGGGAAAATCCATTTCAAGACCCCAACTGGTCTTGCTAGAACTTTCCCTGTTTCAGCCTTTGAACTTGATCTCCCTAAAAAGGAAGTCAAAGAAGAAGCCAAAGAAGTGAATGCTGCTGCTGTTGAAGTGAAAGAGGTTTAAAGAAAAAAAAAAGTTTTATTTTGATTAAAAAGTTGTTGTTTTACTACTACTTAAGTTGAGGATGATGATTATCTTGATGTACTCGTGATGATGATCAAGTGGCTCATCTTTTCTTTGAATTTAGTCACATTATTATTAATAAACTTTAGTTTAAATGAAAAGTTTATTTTTCACGAGTCTTTCGTTACATGATTTATCTTTAAGAATTTTTTTTTATAATTTTTTTAATATATGATGTTTCGTATAATTTTATAAGTAAAATTTTAAAAAAAATAATATGTATATAATTTTATCATATTTTGTGAAGATAAAAAAATTGTTTTAATCGATAGATTTTTCACTAATTTTCTTTTGCTTCATAGGATAGACAAACTATACCAGAGAGTAGATATCAAATTTAACGTTTAATGATTGCCCTTGCTGTTCCTTTTTAGAAATTGTGTACCTAAATTAAATAATACCACCTATCTTCTATAATACATTTATTAAATAGTGTTTTTTTTCTTCTGGGACTATCTTTTGAAGTTTTGACTTTTTTCTAGTTAAATTATAAAACTTGGCTATTACTTATGTTGGGTTATGGGTCTTTTTTCCCTTTCTATGTGGATAAATAAAAGCCCAATTTGGACCAATCCATTTTTGTCCATAAGCCCATTCTTATGAGACAAATATAAGCCTATTTTAGGTCTTATTTTCAAATTTTTTAGAGAGAGTTTTTCAGCAACCAAAAGAGAAAAAAAAGAGAGAAATTCGCAGTCAAAAATCCAACCATTAACAACCAACTTCAAATTGCGATTCCCGCTTCGTTTCTTGTCCAATTGAGCTGATTTTTGGACAGCATATTATCTTCATCTCAATCTTTGATTAGGAACTGACAGAGTTGGATTTGGTGGTCTGCAGCTTCAGTTTTGCTGTCGTGAACAGTAGCTGCGAAATTGGTGATTTTGCTCCTTTAATTCTCTAGATTTGGTGCAATCTTATTTTGTTGTTGCTCGTTGTTTGGCACTTTGTTTTGTGGCCAATTTTGGAGAACAATATTGTAACTCTTGGTGATTATAGTGGAGCTTTTGGTCCCGTGGTTTTTTACTCTTCACATCGAAGGGTTTTCCACGTAAATCTTGGTGTCTTGTGTGATTGGTTTATTATTGTCTTGTTATATTTGTTTGGTTGAATTACTTGCTGCCTTACTATCATATTGCTTGTGGTTGTTTGTTTTCTCTTGGTTCAAATGAAAAGGGAAAGTATAGACTTGGGTATTCTTCCGCTGTTATCCTGTCAGACATTCTTTGTTAGTGTCTTGTCTTTCCCAACAACTTATTCCACGTCAATGATATTTATAACAAACTACGTAGTAATATGTAAGAGTTAAAGATGAAAGGAAAATGAAAAAGACTTTGGTGAACGAACTTAGCATTTAATTATTTTCCCCCTAAAAAAAAAGTGCAAGAGGAGAGGTAATACCTTTAAATGTGCATCTTTTTTAGTTAATACCTTTAACTAAAAAATATAAAAAAACATCAATGTATTTTAAAATAGATAAATGTTATAATTTTTTAAATTTTCTGATCAAATTCTGGCTAAATTTTCTGATCATTTAACACTTTCTCTTTTTAATCGAAATCATTTTCTATGCTATTAATTTCTTTTTCAGTGAATCCATCCGATGCCCAGTAGATATACGTCATGTTTTTGCATTCAAACTCCTAACGCCTAGCTATACTTAAGTAATATAAATTCTTAATTCATTTATAATTGAAATATATATTATCTTCGTTCACTTTTAATTATCATAATTTATTTTTTAAAATTAAATTATAAATATTTTAAACTAATATTTTATGATATATTTTTTTATTATATTGATACGCAAGAAAATACAATCGCTACTGTATTTATTATAAGTACTCCTTCCAACTGTTCGTTTAGTTCTGCATTAAATGTAAGCAAACCCTTTTTTCCAATACTTGATTTGTAACACAACCTCCCATCCAATTTCACATATTGTAGGTCCATATTTAAATTATTTTTCAATGCTCTGATGATCACTTTTTTCTAATTTTTGGTGGACTACCACTTAATTCCCTCCATGCAATTTTGGGGAAAACAAAATGAAGGCTGATTTATAATCGTACTTCTTTTTTACATTTCTTATAAAAAAAAATATTAAATCAAAATGATACTTGACTCGATCTGTAAGTTGGATTTCTATACTTATGACTTTATCAACTGAATCTTTAAATTCATTCAAATTCAATACTTTAAATTCCTTTCTCATCTTATGAATGTACATGTAGTACACTCATTATAATTTTGACAATTTTAAAATAATAATATTGTATTCACTTGCTTCAAAAATGCATGTGATCATGTATTTGTCTAATTTAATTATTTTAGTGTCACATAAACTTAATTAATGGTGAAAGAAGCTTAAAATTAGAGTTTCCTCGAGTTGAAGAGTTTAGTTAGCAAAATTCTGATTTGCTAATCTGGGCATATAATAAGGGCATTTGAGAAATTTAAGCCAAAGGCCAAGGGTAATCTCTCACATTGACATCTATATATTAGAAGCATTTTTCCCAATCATATATCATTCATTACAAAGTGAAAAATCCACTGCAAAATATGTCTCTAATAACAGAGGAGATTAGAGCAAGTGCAACTGAATTCTACACTGGAAATGATATCTGTCAAGAGAAATCAAAGTTCTTGTTAACAGAAATGAACCTCCCAAATGGGCTTCTCCCTATGCAAGACATGTTAGAATGTGGCTATGTTAAAGACACTGGCTTTGTTTGGCTCAAATCAAAGAAAAAAACAGAGCACAAATTTGAAAAAATTGATAGATCAGTCCAATATGCAACTGAAGTGACAGCTTATGTTGAGCCCAATAAGATCAAGAAACTTACTGGGGTTAAAGCTAAAGAGCTTCTAATGTGGCTAACGCTCAATGAAATTTGTGTTGATGAGCCATCCACTGGGAAAATCCATTTCAAGTCTCCAACTGGTCTTGCTAGGACTTTCCCTGTTTCAGCCTTTGAACTTGATGTCCCCAAAAAGGAAGTCAAAGAAGAAGCCAATGAAGTGAGTGTTGCTACAGTTGAAGTGAAAGAGGTGTAAGAAATAATATAGTATTGATTTGCTTATTATATATATATATATATATATATATTGAGAAAATAAGAAGTTTTATTTTGAGTAAAAAGTTTGTTGTATTACTACTGCAACTAACTACAACTTAAGTTTAGTGTGATGATTATCAATTCATCTTCATGTACTCATGATGATGATCAAGTGGCTAAATTATGTCACATTATTATTATTATAAATAATCTTATTTTAAGTTAAGAGTTTATTTCTCATGAGTCTTGGATCTCTATTATCCATGCTTGATTTCAACACTTGAAGCATTTTGTCAATTCGTATTATTATTAAGTATTTACAAGGTCATCATTCAGGCCCTTATGTCATGGATGCTCTGTGTGACACTTAATAATTTACTCACACTTTTATAATCTTGACAAGTTATGATACTTAGTTAATAATCCGTGTTATATTTTCTTACTTTAATTGATGATCTGTTCGGACATCTTTAAATCTATGCTTTATTTGCATTTAGTCGATACTAAGATTTTTATATTATTTCTTTAATTATGTGTTTTAATTTTCAATTTTTAGTTTTTTTTTTAAGAATAAGTAATTGTAAGAACATTGAGATGAAAATCATTTTTGTTAGCGTGGAATCAGTAATACTAAATTGTTAAGACTCAGATAATTATTATTATGTTGAGAGACAATAATGATAAGAAGAGGTAATATTTGAGTGGTGGTACCGTTTGTGACGGATAGCTAATGACATTAAATTATAAGCTTTCTCCAACTGGACGGCTTGCTGGGAATTAAATTCATATAAATGGGGCAACATTTTGAGATGACAGATCAAGTTTTAATATAGAGATAATCTACGATTATCTTTTTAATTTATATTCGAAATTTCAGAGTTCCTGAACTTATTTTATAAGTAATTTTCTGTTCCTTTTTGAACTACGTGACACTATCTTATGGGTCCAATGCTGGTTGATCTTTTTTATCCAATCTAGTGCTACGTAGATCGAAAAGGAATAGAATTACTTATAAAATAAGTTCAGGGTGTAATAGGACCTAAGTGTATCTCTGAAATTTTGGATATACGTTGAATGGGTACTTGTACATTTTCCCTTTAATATATACATATACTCCCACCGATTTCTGATTTTGACTTGACGTGATGTTTAGTTTTTTTTTGAATATTATGTTTTAAAATTAAATATATATAGAATATATTAAAATTGTCTTGATCTTGAACATGTAATGTAAATTTATTTTTTTTTTAAAAAAGAGTAAATTATTTTTAACGAATAACAAAGAAACATAAGAAAAATAAATTAAATGAGAGGAATTACATATTAGAAAATAAAAGAAAAAATAATGATCACAATAAAAATAGGTCTCAAAGAACACACAATTCATATAGGCTGGCCTAAAAAGTATTGAGTTCGGTAAGAAAAAAAAAATCTGTGATAGGATTCCAATCGTGTATAAAAAGAAGAAAGATAAAGAGAAGAATTAAAAAAAAAAAAGAGGCTTGGACTAAAGTAGGTCTCCTAATTAAAATCATCACCTAAGTCCTAACAATTATTAATTGGTACGTAACTCATAATTAAGACATCAGCAATGAATAATGATCAGTCTTGTTGTTGGAGAATACCAACGGGACACGTACATTTATTTTATTAGTCATGTCTTCATTTTCTTTTTTTTTATTAAAAAAAATAGTCTTATGTCGTGTTTCTTATTTTTCTTAATTTTTTAAAATTAATTTCGAGAAGTTCTGATTTGTTTCATTTTTTCGGTTTTACACTTTTACTACTTCTATATAATCTCTATATTACATATTTATTTATTATTTATCATTCATCGTGTTTAAGAATAATTATCACTGAGATAAAATAATAAATAAAAAAAGTTTCCGTCTAAGTGTTGCTTCAGAAATTTATGACAAAAAATCATTTGTTTATCCAACTACACCTTATACATCATCTTCTTAATAATATTCAATTCTTAAAATACATGTACAAAAAATATACGTTATATTTAGTAAATATTTTTAAAAATCATAACAGATAACAAAAATATACAT